TAACCTAGCCTACCCTCCCCACCCAGGCTTTTACCATTTAAACCAGGGGTCCTCAAACATTTTAAACAGGGGTCCAGTTCGCTGTCCCTCAGACCGTTGGAGGGCTGGACTGTGGGCCCCAGGACAAGTTGGCTGCTAAGCAGGACAGGCAGCAGTGGCAAAAACACTCAGTGGGCCGGATAAATGTTCTAGGCAGGCCACACGTGGCCTGCAAGCCATAGTTTGAGGACGCCTGATTTAAACAATAAAAGCTAGAGATGATGTTTAATTATTTTTATTATCTATGGTGGGCAGACATAATTTACTATTCCTGAGTGAGGGTTAGAGCAGGTATAGGAGCCTTAACTCTCTGCCTCCAGGACCATTATAAACAAAAATGTACCAATGTTGGAAAGATCTTAACTGGCATTCATGACCAAAGTCATCAATCTCCCACAGCTGGGGCCACTGGACTCCCACCTACAACTGTACCTTGATCCAGGAATCTGGACTCAATTTTGTCATAAGGGATCCAGAGAGCTTAGTATCAGATTGGTCTGGCTCAGAGCCTGATTCTGGTGACTATAACTGCTGTCTCCTCCTGAGACTGAGTGTCCATGTGATATGACAGTTATGGCAACTAAGTCCCTGTCTCCATAACCTGTCCAAGACCTCAAAACCTAGAATCTGCCTTGTTCTTGCCAGTTTTCTGAGGAATTCTATGTCTGGAGTCTCACTAACTCCAGAAATGAGCCCCCTCAGGCTACCTACTGATCTAGATTAGTGGTTCTCAAACATCAAAGGCTTTAGAATCACCTAGGGGCTTGTTAAAACACCATGTTTATCCTCAGTGTCTAGTTCAGTTGGTTTGGGTAGGGCCTGAGAATCTGCATTTGGAAAAAAGTTCCCACGTGAGCTGCTGGTCTGGGGATCATGCTTTGAGAATTGGAGGTACAACTCTCCCCATGTTGCCTGCCACCATGATCTACCTACTTGCTGAGATACTGTCAAGCTGAGGCCTAAACAATGAGAAAGGAATAGCCAGTTGAGAGGTCTGAGAAATACATTCCCAGCAGAAGGGACTACAGTCTCTGTAGGCCCGAACAAGGAATTAAGTCTGGCACCAGTACCAGGATGAAGTGTGGCAGCCAGAACACAGCCTGTGCTGGCAAGTCCAATAAGAGCAGGTTGTGACCAGACATGCCTAAATTGAGTGACTCATAATTATCAGCTTTGGAATTTGAGTCTCTAGACTTTCCTGTAAGTATGCAAAAAAGGCATCTTAAATTTTCTTTGATTAATATTCAAATTGGTGTTCAAATTCTCTGAACATTAGCATTATTGGATTCAGGGCCAGAGCTGAGGTATATAGTAGAGAAAATAATTCAAATTACTTCATTTACTTGTGCAAACAAATTTTAGTCTGGTGTTACAAAAACTACAAAATAAAATAAGTAAACCCAAACATACACAAGCAAGAATGAGGGACAACATAAATTACTGGATCTACCTTACCTGGACAAATGCAATGGCTTGTTGTGGATAATAGATAGAGGCAGCTAATCCCATGAAACCAGGTGGATACACCAGCTTCTTTACTTTTGAACCTAGTAAATAAAAGGTTATACACATCATCTGATGATTCATTATACTTTTGTGTGTCTTTTAAAAAATTTTTTTGAGACAGTCTCACTCTGTCTCCAGGACTAGAGCACCATAGCCTCAGCCTAGCTCACAGCAACCTCAAACTCCTGTGTTCAAGCAATCCTCCTGTCTCAGGCTCCCAAGTAGCTGGGACTACAAGCACCTGCCACAACACCCACCTAATTTTTCTATTTTTAGTAGAGAATGGGGTCTTGCTTTTAGCCAGGCTGGTCTCAAACTCCTGAGCTCAAGCAATCCTCCTGCCTCGGCTTCCCAGAGTGCTAGGATTATAAGTATAAGCCACCATGCCTGGCCTGATTCATTATCCTTATCATCACAATTGACCTTATACGTTTAATACCAAGTAAGATTTTTTGAGCCCTAAATTGAAAGATTGTGCCCAATATCATGTGTGCCAAAAAGAACCACCACTTTTCAACCACATTGTTGGCATCTAATTCACATAATTCACAATGTATAGTTCCATGGCTTTTCATATATTCACAGATTTGTATAACCATCACCACAATCAAGTTTAGATTTCAATCACTCCCCTAAAAAAAAAAAACCCATACCCATTAGCAGCCATCCTAATTCCCCCATTATCTATCCCCAGACCTAGGCAGCCACTAATCTACTTTCTATCTTGGATTTGCCTACTTTGGACATTTACTATAAATGGAATCATGTAATAAATATGTGGTCCTTTGTGACTGGCTTCCTTCACTCAGCAAATGTTTTCCAGAAAACTTCCCTTTCTAAGGCAGCAGAATAAAAGATTGTTTTGAAAACAAATAAACTAGTATTTTGGTTTCTACAGTTTATGTTCTTTCACAGCAACTGGCTTCCTATTTAAATACTAAACACAAGCATTCTTCTCCTCTTTTCTGTGACCCTGTTAAAATAATAGTATGAGAATAAAAAACTAGTCTGTGCAGTGGCTCATGTCTGTAATCCCAGCACCCTGGGAGGCTGAGGTGAGTGGATTGCTTGAGCTCAGGAGTTCTAGACTAGCCTGAGTAAGATTGAGACCCAGTCTCTACTAAAAATAGAAAAACTACCTGGGCATCGTGGCCAGCACCTATAGTCCCAGCTACTTGGGAGGCTGAGGCAGGAGGATAGCTTGAGCCCAGAGTTTGCGGTTATGGGCTATGACGCCACAGCATTCTACCTAGGGGAACCGAGTGAAACCCCGTCTAAAAAAAAAAAAAAAAAAAAAAGATGAGGAAACCCACAATGAAGAGAAAATGTGTGCAGGGGCCACTGGTAGATAATAAATGTCAACTAATTTTCAGAAAATGGAGATTGAATGGAAATAAGAGGATGTGCTGCCCTGAATTCTTGACAGAGGGCTGTAGCCTCAAAAAAAGCAGATCTGTCCCATGCAGCCCTACAGGGGCTTCAGACTCAGAGATGACAGGTACTGTGGGGAGCCAAGGCAGCAACCAGGAATCAAGACAAACACCTTCCCTATGCCATCTCAATGCAAAACTGCCCATGGCTAAGAAGTCGCACTAGGTCAAATTTTTTTAAAGGGGCATTGTACCACTAAAGAAATCCCATGGATTCCCTACTGAGAACCAAGATAGCTGGGAAGGGTGTTTGTTAGTGACTGAGAGTAAAGCCCTCCTCACACTGGCACTGGGTATAGGGGCCCCCCATATAAGGTCAGTTCCCATTAGTTCCCCCTATAAGCAGGTCCCATCTATGCACAAAGTTCTTATGCGTGTTTTAATTGCCTTATTCTGAAACATCACCAGACAACCAAGGATCACCAGTCATTTGAGGAAAGCTTGAAACACAAAGAAAGATGAAGACAAGGAAGAAAAATGACCCCAGAGGAAATAGACAAACTCCAAAACAAAATGAAATGTGTTATTAAGTATTATCAAATAAATTCAAAAAACTACTACATTGAAAGAAAAAAGAATTCTATGAAAAAAGAAACATTCAGAAACGAGAAAGAGCTCTTAGAAATGATCAAAGTAACAAAACTTATTTATTTTTTTTGAGACAGAGCCTCAAGTTGTCACCCTGGGTAGAGTGCCATGGCATCACAGCTCACAGCAACCTCCAACACCAGGGCTTAAGCGATTCTCTTGCCTCAGCCTCACAAGTAGCTGGGACTACAGGCACCTGCCACAACACCTGGCTATTTTTTGGTTGCAGCTGTCATTGCTGTTTGGCAGGCCTGGGCTAGATTTGAACCCGCCAACTCTGGTGTATGTGGCTGGTGCCTTAGCCACTTGAGCTACAGGTGCTGAGCCAAAGAAACAAAATTTAAAAGAAACAAAATAAAATAATCATATAGGGTCATTTTAAAGAACCCAATTGCTAAAACATGAGTTAAGGAAGGAAAAAGAATGATAATAAATTTTCAGAGAAATATAAGATAGATACCTTTCAGGGCGGTGCCTGTGGCTCAGTGAGTAGGGCACTGGCCCCATATACCTAGGGTGGCGGGTTCAAACCCGGCACCGGCCAAACTGCAACAACAACAAAAATAGCCGGGCGTTATGGCAGGTGCCCATAGTCCCAGCTACTCGGGAGGCTGAGGCTAGAGAATTGCCTAAGCCCAAGAGCCGGAGGTTGCTGTGAGCTGTGACACCATGGCACTCTACCAAGGGTGACAAAAGTGAGACTCTCTGAAAAAAAAAAAAAAAAAGATAGATACCTTCCTTCACCTGAAGGCTGCAAACCACCAAAATGTCCAACCAGGAAATGAAAGCATCTGTATCTGATCACAGCAACATGGAAATTCAGAACATAAGAGAAGATCCTCAAAGATCCTCAAAGCTTCCAGAAGAACTTCCGAAGCAGTAAGCATTCAGACTGGCCACTGATTCTCATATCTGAAAAGCAGGATGCTAGAAGATGCAGCCTTCAAAGTTCTGATGGTGAACAAATTCTGTGCCCAACTAAACTCTCACCTGGTACAAGGACAGAAAGTAATTTTCAGACATGTAAGGTCTTGAGAAGTTTACCTCCAAACTTTATGCTTTTTGGAAAGAGACTTAAGCATGTTGTTCAACTGCATGGCAGAGTAAACCGAGAAGATGAGATGAATACAGGAAAAGGGGCTCAAACTCAAGAGAGTGTGAAGAAGACAAGTCCCAAGATAAAAGTGGTGTTGAAGTCTCAGGCCAACTATAGGATATAGAGCTATGGGAAGGGGGGACTTGAAAGAATAGATGGCAGGATGCAGAGCCTGTAGAAACCCGAGAATGAGGTTAAGAAAGCTGGCAGAAGGTGAAACAGGAGATTAGGGACTTGACTCCACTGAGAGTGTTTTTGCCATGGGACCCACACAGACAGCACAGTGTGTGCTAATGATACTTCCACAGTTCTACTATAATGGAAGTGCTGTTTATTGGTTGTTCTTTATGAAACACTTTGTGAATTTGTGCGTCATCCTTGCACAGGGGCCATGTTAATATTTTCTGTATTGTTCTAGGTTTAGTATATGAGCTGCTGAAGTGAGCAAGCACTATTTATTGGTTTTAAAACTTTTGGGGGGAGACAGAGTCTCACTGTGTCACCCTCAGTAGAGTGCTGTGGTGTCACAGCTCACAGCAACCTCCAACTCTTGGGATTGATTCTTTTGCCTCAGCCTCCCTAGTAGCTGGGACTACAGGTGCCTGCCACAATGCCCAGCTTTTTATTTTTTTCAGCTGTGACTCCAGACAGTATCCAAAGAAGAGTTTTTAAAATCTCTTCTCTAGGTTTTATGGAGATTTACTTTACCCTTCTATGTTAGCCTCTTAAAGCACTGTGTCAACCTTAAAAGGGCACAGGAAAGGGCGCCAGCTATTCTTTGGTTGCAGTTGTCATTGTTGTTTAGCAGGCCCCAGCCAGGCTCGACCCGCCCAGCCTCAGTGTATGTGGCTGGCGCCCTACTCACTGAGCTACAGGTGCCGAGCCATATTGGTTTTAAAACTTTAAACAGACAAATCCCCAAAGATGAAACTGGGGTTACAGAAAAGAATACAAACGTTATCAACCCAGCCTATTAATAAAGTTAATGTTTCTCTCCTGGTTCTATTGCCTGGATTGAAAGGATAAAATTGGGCCAGGGGTGGTAGCTAATGCCTGTAATCCAGCACTTGGGAGGCCGAGGCAGGTGGATTGCCTGAGCTCACAAGTTCAACACCAGCTTGAGCCAGAGCGAAACCTCATCTCTAAAAATAGCCAGGTGTTGTAGAGGGCACCTGTAGTCCCAGCTACTTGGGAAGCTGAGGCAAGAGAATTGTTTGAACCCAAGAGTTCGAGGTTGCTGTCAGCTATGACGCCACAGCACTCTACCAAGGGTGACAAAGTGAGACCCTATCTCAAAAAAAAAAAAAAAAAGAAAAGAAAAAGAAAACGAGAAAGAAAAGAAAAAAAAGAAAGGATAAAATTATCCTAGAAAAGAAACTCCTGTGTCACTGTTAGGATGCCCCATCTGCCCAGCCCTCTACTTGAAGCTCCCGGGCAGCTCACAGGTGAAGACCAGGGAAGCACAGCAAACCTGCCATCCAGTCATTTTCACTCCACTAAGGAAAGCTGATCTGTGGCAGCTCTTGGGCCTCTAGCTCCTGCTGGTTCGCACCTAAGCTGGGGACACAGCACCTCAGGAAGGAGGTGTGATCACAAGCCTGTGCCCCATCTCCCAAGAAGCTGGTGGTGTGGGCTATTAACTATCATCATTGCCAGAAGGGAACCACTGGCCACCAGTGCTGGGGAGAGCCACCAGAAGGTAATAATAGTGGCAACAACCACCTGCCACCTTTCAGTGGCCTAGTTGGGTCCACTTCCTCTGAATGATCATTTACTCACCTCTCTGGGAGTCCCCTGTCACCATCATGGTCATGTCCATTCTTATCAACTGAGGCAGATAAGATATCACCTTAGTAGATATGCTCGAGAAACCTTACCAGGTGGGACTTTCTGCACCACTGCATCCATCCTGCTGCCACCAGCATACAGGACCACCTTACCTGGAGGGACCAGCAAACCATTCTGGCCACCCATGGACATACCTACCATCCCACTCATCTTGTTTAGAATCCCTAGGATGCCAGCCATTCTACACCCACAGCCCATGGGAAAAGACCTGCTGTTGCACATGTGTGTATGTGTTTGTGTGAATACTGGTGAAAAAGAATTAAAGTTTCAAATTATTTTAATACTACTGAGCTCTCACAGGAAAAGGATGAAGAAAGATAGGAATAAAGGAACAAACACAAAAGAATAGGATCCACAGTTGTGGGTGTCTCATGCTGCTACTCCATCCAGGGCAACATGGTCCCCAATCCCCCTCAGGATGGTCACCCTAATGGATGTATAGGGGCTAAACACTGGACATTGGGCTCAGCGCCTGTAGCTCAGTGAGTAGAGTGCCAACCATATATACTGAGGCTGGCAAGTCGAGCCTGGCCCAAGCCTGCTAAACAACAATAACAACTGCAACCAAAAACTAGCCGGGCATTGTGGCAGGCACCTGTAGTCCCAGCTACTTGGGAGGTGGAGGCAGGAGAATCACTTAAGCCCAGGAGTTTGAGGTTGTGTTGCTGTGAGCTGTGACACCATGGCATTCTACCAAGGGTGACATAGTGAGACTCTGTCTCAAAAAAAAAAAA